ATCAGATCCACAGGTCAGATCCCAAAACCAAGGTATTACTGGCTCAAAGACAATCGGACGCTTACTCCATCAGTTCATAAACGTATGAGGTTAAAACCCTACAGATACCTAAAGATAAAACGGGTGAAGAAAGAGGACGCCGGCTTTTACACCCTGTGTTGTTGTGAACGACTGCGGCAAAAATCGTTATACAATGCAGCTCAATGTCTGAGGTATGTAAACTTCACAACTTAATAAGTTTTTTTTTATGATTTTTCAAAGATTCAGTTAATAGATGTATCAGAGTTACTTGTTATGGTCACTTCATTATCACGTTTAGTTTTTTTTTTTTCTCAGAGTAATTTTACGCGGTTTTACAAGAAGAAAAGCCTCAAGTTATTGGGACCCTATAGAATTAAACAAGATTAAGTACTTGCTTTGTTTTCGTACTGTTTTTTATCCACACCAATTCACCTTCGTATGAGCGAGCCGGTAGCATAGATAAGTTTCCTTGTAACCATACGATAGTCTATGATTATCTTTCCTCTCCTCCCATTTTCGATTTATAAGGATCTCTGGGGTAGATCATGAGCTAACTATGCAGAAGGAAATGTTTTGGGAATATTTGAGTTGCTTACCTGTTTCCTTGTTTAGTACACTCAGCACACACATACCTGTAATAAGGCTAGAAATACATGAATAGGATAACGCAGCGATGAAGGTAATGTTACCTCCTGATCTGCCCCTGATCGTACACAATTCCTTTTTGGGCGGAAGGTTGCTTTCCTCCTTCCAGTGTACAATACTCCCAGCACATCCACACCAACACGAAACTTAAAAAACGGATGTGTATATAAACAGCAAAAATTCGATGCAAGTTATGTTAAAAAATTGTAACTAGATCTGAAAGTATTGTTCGGAACTACGGGAAATGGTCGGATTTATTGTTTCCTTGATTACTCTCGCTGATGCTGTAAATATCAACCATCCCTTACCCCCTCATCCCCCCCGCTTAAAAATCCTTGTTTGATCCACGCTTGATTTGTGGTATCTCCAGAGAGTAATGAATGGACAAAATCGAGAATCTAAGTACATAACGATCTCTATCTTGATGTTTGAATTGAAGTCATTTGTTTCTTCTCTCAAAGGACCTGTATTAGACCTCAATCAAAATGCGATATCAGGTATGGCAAACAATTGACTACCTGGCTTGGTTTTGATAAACACTGGAACATCACTATAAAGTCTATAACGGTTGAACCCTTAGAATGAAATGATGTGAAGACTTCTTCTGTAACTGTAGCCTAAATTGAGGTTTTCGTTCGTTTCGGGTGGCCCCAAGAGAAGAAGTGAAGGCAAGCCAGCGAGCGGATTTCAAGAATTTGGTGGTGTTGAATGCATGCAGCTTTAGGTGGGTTACAGGCGAGATGGGGATGTTGTCGAAGAGATCATTACTAAAATGCAGTGGCTGCTGTATTCTTTACAGTTGCTCCAAAGTTCACGGTGTCGCAAGACAAGATGAGGCACAACCATCTAACAGTACCCGCTCGCAACTCTGTAAAGCTGGACTGTTCCGCCGATGGACACCTTCGTCCTACCGTGAGATAGTACCGAAAGACGGAAAATTGTTTGAGGAAAAGAAAGGTGGCTATAAGCTCTATTTGAATCGGTGGAAAACTGTGTTGAGCCTGACGGACTTGTTTCCCTCTGACGCTGGATCTTACATGTGTAATGTGAGCAACTCATACGGATGGATTGATTGTACCTACAAAGTAATCCATGGTAAGAAGAAAAATTCCTTCAAATTTTTTTTCGCTCTAAAGAGTACTCACGGTTTTCTTTATCTCAGAAAAAGAATCTTCAAGCTCTTGTGATCAATGTAAACTTCTTTCATTAAAATTAAAATAAACATTGCAAGTAACGAAACGATGATGTTTTCGTATTACACTGACAGTATTGACGGTATTCTCTCTTTTTTTAGAGCGATTTCGTGCTGAACCAGTGCTTCTACAGACGGAAAACGTCACAGTTTATCAAGGAGAAAATGTCAGCTTATCGTTCAGAGCCCTAAGTGATTCTATGCCTCATTTCTAGTA